TCTAAAAATAAATGGAAAAAGTATCCTTGGGTGAGAATTGACCAAAAAAAAATTAAGAAAAAAGTGTGTCTCTTTGTACTTCTGCTTTCTGTCTTTAGACAGAATGGCACAAGCTGAGAGTTTCCTGATGGGCATTTCATGGCCATTGTTTAGTCCTGCCTGTGACATGCGGCCCGAGCACAGAGGCTGCTGGGAACTTCCCTGATGCTCCCAGCAGCCCTGGCCCTGCGGTCAGTGCCTGAGGCTGGGCTGACGCAGTCGGGGGTGCGGCCCCTGCACCGAGGCCCGTTCACGGGGAGGGCTGAATGCCCTGCTTGTTTGTGGGGGGCGGGCTTGTATGGCGCCATTCATCCCTCCCCCGTGGGCCGAGGGTGGCCAGTGGCAGCTGACGGAGTTGCTTCCCTCAGGTGCGTGGTGTCCAGGAGCTGGTCTTTCCTGAGCCAGCGTTGGGCCCTGGGGAGAGCTGAAGAGAAGCTAATGCATGTTCCCTTTCTTTTGAAATAGCATCCAGCACGTGTATGGCGCCCAGCATCCCCCTTTCGACCCGCTGTTACATGGCACGTAAGTGAAGCTTCAGCTCTCCCAGGGGGGTTAGGCCTGGTTCTGGGGCCTGTGGTGACCCGAAGCTCCCTGAAACTCGTGGGGGGAAGAAAGTGGTTTTTTGTTCAGTAAACATGTGGCTGGTGTGAGACACCCCTGGCCTTGTCACACTCATTCTCTTGGGGGGAGGCAGACATGGAAGCCACAGCCTGAAGCGGGGCCACTGTGCAGGGGACATAAGCTGGCACCCCCAGCCAGTGGGCCGGCCTGGCTCGGTCGTGAATGATGGTGGTTTGTGTCCCTCACACTCCACTGCACCCCGCCCGGCTGCCCGAGGCTCACTCTGCCCTGTGTCCGGTTCCTCCCTGTGGCGAGAGGAGGATGTGGCTCTGCTGGCCTGCCCCTGTCCCAGAAGGTATCAGACACACGATGGACTGGATGATGTCTGCAGTCATACTGTGGGGTCTTGTACCCCCATCTGTCCCCCAAAGGCCATGCTCTGTGAGCGGTCCCTCCTCCCCCAATCCCTAGCGCAGTCTCGGGAGGGTGGCCAGGACATTGGGGCGAGAGAATCTGCAGGCCCTGCCCAGTGAGGTTGGGGCAGCTGTGGGTTCCCGACGGCAGCGCTGTGCTCCCGCTCAGAGCGCATCTGTCCGAGGCAGAGATGCTCATGGCCTCTCCCTCCTGCTCTGTCCCTGGGTCCTCAGCAGCTTGGCCCAGTTTCTCTGGCTTTCTCCCCTCCAGCTCAGCTCTGTTGAAGATCGCCTTTGCTTTGCAGCTTGCTCAAGGCCACGCCCAAGGCACCCACCACGCCCGTAAAGGCCAAGAGAGTCAGCACCTTCCAGGAGTTTGAGAGCAACACCAGCGACGCCTGGGACGCGGGCGAAGATGATGATGAACTTCTGGCCATGGCCGCCGAGAGCCTGAACACTGAGGTGGTGATGGAGACGGCCCACCGTGTGCTGCGGGACCACAGCCAGCGGCAGGAGCAGCACAAGCTGCGGGAGCCTCCAGGGCCCGCGCAGACGCCAGTGCCTTTGGCAGAGCCTCCTCCGGCCCCCAGCGGGGACCTTCGGCTGGTGAAGTCTGTCAGCGAGAGCCACACGTCCTGTCCTGCAGGTGGGATGGGGCTGGAGCTGATGTGCCTCCCTGCAGGAGACCCCTTCCCCTGTGGACAATGAGTGGGGCCTTCCCTGCGGCAGAGCCCTGCCCTTGAAGGCTCTAGAGTTGTCATCCCAGTGGCCTCAGGCCTCCCAGGCAGGAGAAGCAGCTGTGCCCCTGGCTGAATCCTCTCTCCTCCAAGGAGTGGAAGGGCCTGTGGCTTTTGTGGGCCGGTTGTGAGAGGGCCACAGTGAGCACAGGGCTCAGGGACCCCTTCTCCTAACCCTGCACTGGTTGCTCTAGGGTGGCATTTCCTGCAGGGGGCAGCTCAGCTGCACATGTATGGGATGTGTCTCCGTTCGCAGCTTCTGGCTCTGCGTCCAGGGACACTCACACGTGGGCTCAGGTCTGTCGGGGGTGGTTCAGATTATAAACCCCTTGGGGCAGGAGCCTGTCTGTGTCTCATAGCCCACCTGGGACTCAGCGGCTGCTCTAGAGCCTGCTCTTCCTGCTTCTGCGCTTTCTCTGTCGGGGGGTCTGGGACACAGGGCCACACAGCTGCTCCAGGAGGGATCTGGGGGTGGGGCATTGCTGTTTTCCATGCACAGTAACGGGGACCTGGTTGCCGAGGTTACTGCTGCCTTGGGGACATCGCTGTCACTTTGCCTTCCAAACTCCACCTGTCCCATCTTTGAGTGGGGCCAGAAGTGCACTCACTTAGGAGTGAGTGGGCCCTCACGTGCCTTAGTGAGGTCACCTGGCTCATCTCTGAGATTCCAGGTAATGGAATCTAGCACGTTGGTTCTGCAACACTGGGCCTGAGCTTCCCACTGGCCGCCCTTGCTGTGGGGTCCTGGGATGTGGTTGAGCAGTGGGTTCTAGGGGGAGGGAAATGAGCCTTGGGGTCATAGCCAGTCCTGGCCTCTGCTCTCTGTGGGCAGCTGAGCAAATGGGAGGGGTGGGAGGTGCTCTACTCTGTGCCCACTTTGCAGGCTTTTCTGGAAGCTTATCTGGGCCAGACTCTGCCCAGAGGCCGAGATGCCTGCTCCTTGGTGCCTGAGGGCTCCTGTGTGAAGCCTCCTGTCTGCGTTCTGGTGTAATGAGCTTACTCTGGGGAGCAGGAGCAGTGGGGTGCCGTCTCCCCCTGTCTGGCAGCAGCTGCTGCTCATGGGCATTAGTACGTGTCCCATGGGTCTGCTTCTTTTCCCATGTTGGGAGCTTACTTTCACTCCATGTTAAATTCCAGTGTGACAGTGTGACAGCTTAGTGGGCTCAGCCCTGGGGTTCAGAGCCCTGAGTGCCTCCTGCTGTTTGTCCCTTGTCGGTCTCAGTGGCTCTTCCCTGTGGCTGTCCCTGGTCCTGGGCCACTGATGGACATCCTGTCTTACCTCACCTGTGGGTCCCTGTGGGTCTGCGTGGGCACAAGCCTTTCAGCCTGTCTCAGGGTCTGGTGCCCTGGGCGAGGGCTGGGCAAGCTGGTGCTCGATGCCCCTCCTGGCTGCAGCAGAGTTTGGCTTTCTTTGCTTCCTCGGGGAGATCTGGAGGTTCAGTCGAGTGGCGGTGTCCTGGTTGCCCGCGCACTCTAGTCTTTTCCCACTGTCCTCGGTGCATTCCCATGCTTGCCCCCCTTGTGGGTGACTGGCAGCTTTCCTCCACACTCGGGCCGGGCAGCCTCACAGGTATCCTCCTCCCAGCCCTACGCCAGCTGTCCTCAGGCTGCGCCACCCAGGCAGGTCTGACTGGGGCGTCCAGGCTGCTGCTGGCCCGAGGAGGGCGGAGTTTTCTGGTAGTCCCTGTCCGGATTTTACGTGGGGCGTGTCTGTTTGACGATGAATAACACTCCTCCAGTGGAGGGAAGGGGTGACTTTACAGGTATCAGCGAGGTTCATTTAATTGCTCCAGAAGCCACAGTCTGCAGCTTTCAGTGCAGGGAGGAAGGGACACTGTGACATGGAGCATTCACAGAGGGAAATGACTCGTGGCCTCTCTGTGGAGAATGTGGCAAGAAGGCAGGATGCCGCTCTCACCCTTGTTCTCCCTCCGCAGAGAGTGCTGGCAGCCCGGTCCCTCTGCAGAGGTCCCAGTCGCTCCCACACTCGGTGACTGTCGCCCTGAGTGGGACATCTGACCCCGGTGCCCTCAGCAGCTCAGCGTTGAGTGAGAGAGAGGCCTCCCGGCTCGACAAGTTCAGGCAGCTCCTCGCTGGCCCCAACACGGACCTCGGTAAGTGCCTGGGGTGGGGGGTGTGCAGTTGTCCTGTTTCTGAGCCAGGGCCAGTTCTGAAAGACCTCGTCCGTTACCATGTATGCTTCCTGTGTAGCTTTCCTTGTTTAGACATGGTTTGTTAATGTGCTTCCAATGCAGTTTGATTAAGTATTTTGTGTTCCTTTTTCTTAAGCCCCAGTTGCACTCATTTGGCTTCTTAGAGCTGCCCTTGGTTAGCTCTGTGAGGCTGGGCAGACGGGCATCTTGCTGTTCCTGGTGTTCATGGGGCACTGTGCTGGTGACCAACGTCATGATCCTGCTGAGCCTGAGCCTCCTGCTGGGCTTCCTAGTCCACATGGAGTGAGACTGTGAGCGCTGCAGGGGACCCATGGCCAGCTTGCCTAGGCCTCCAGGCCAGCAGGGGGTAGTGCTGTCAGCAGTGTGGTTGTCTTGGGTCTCGGTGCCCGTGTGGACCCCTGAGGCATGGGCCCGCTTCTGTCTGCTGGAATTACACCTGAGTCACATTCTTTCACTTATGTGTCTCCTCGTTGTTGAGCATCACTCTGTGATAGGCCTTTTGCTGGACACTGGAGCTTTCAGGATGGTCCCCAGGTCGCTCCTAGTTGGTGGGCAGGTGTCAGGAGTGGAGCTCTGAGGCCTGCAGTGCCCTGCTCGGCCACCAGGTGGCGCGTGAGGCCTGTGGACGGGCGGGTCCCGTAGCCTGTAAGATGCTCTGGTCGGCACCATTCTCGCTGGGAGTTTTCTTTTTGGTTTTCCTTATTTTTGCACATGTGCATGTTGGGCAGGTACACTGCACAGAGGGGTGTATGGTGGGACTGAGTCCCTTCTCCCTTCCCCGGCTCCCTCCTCCTCCGTTGCTCTGTCCTAGGTGTCTTCTTCCAGACATGCCCACGCACGTGTCATGCAAACTTCTAACGTTGACTTAATGTCACACTTACAGGAAAGGTGCAAGAATAGTACTTTACCCACTCAGCAGTTGTTTACGTTCTGCCCATTTTCATCGTGTCTGTGGGCCCCGTGTGCACAGTTCCCTGACCCTTGGAGTCTGGGAGAGATCGTGTCCCCTTACTCCTGAAATGTCACTGCATGTTTCCTGAGGACAGGCATTTTCTCCGTGTGGTCCCAGCAACGTCAAAGTCAGGAAACGTAACAGGGACGCAGCACTGTTACTTCTTCCACAGTCCACGATCACATTCAACCACTGTCCGTATATTGTCCTTCACCTCTTTTGTTTGGTCCAGAGAACTGCAGGACTGCGCGTTGTGTTCGTGGTCACGTTGCTTGCTCCGTTAACCTGGAGCAGTGCCCCGGCCTCGCCCCGTGGTCTCGATCTGATGTTCTAGAGAGCGCAGGCCCTTTGGTGTGCTTGTCTTGCGTCCTTGTGGTGACATGTGGCCGGTCATTTGCGTTTTTGGCCATTAGAGCAGGGGCTGTGGTGCTGGTTGTCCAGCATTGACATCCACTCTAGTTGAGAGGTTAAGACGGTGTCTGCCGGTTCCTCCAGGGAGGAGCTGCTCCTTCCTTTGCCGGTTCAGAAGTGATTTGAGAGATGCTCCGGGGTCAGTGCATTTATGTGATGCATTTTCTTCCTCTGCAGAGTGGTTACACCTTTCCGCTCCTCGGTTTTCACATGAGCAGCGTTTCCTGTAAGGTCCTGGCAGACATGGTCGTCTGTAGTGCTTTGCTTGAGCCCATCTGTGGGCCCGTCACGACGGCCCTTCCTGGTGGGTACTTGGGTCACTCTGGACTTCCTGTTACTACAGATGACTTGAGAACTCTTCCTCAGACCTGTGATCCTGACCTGTGCTGGTGACGTCCAGAGTGTCCCTGGTGTGCGGAGAACGGCAGCTTGAGACCTGGGCGGAGTCTCAGTGCCCGCTGGGAAAGACAGGCCGGGTGTGAGGGACCAGGTGTCGTGGTTGGAGTGTGTGCGTTAGCCGCCGGCTGCTCCAGCCGCCAGTGCGCCTGTGCCTCTGGGGCGGGGCGGGGGCTGGGTCGGAGCGGTAGTGAGAGTGGAGTCTGGGGACGGCTGCCTGTGGGGAGGGCTGGCTTCACTGCCCCTCACCATGACCTCGAGCCACCTGGTGACTTCCTGCAGCCCCTCCTCCCTCTGTAGGCACAAGAGAATAGTCCAGGTGCAGAGGAGACTCCCACAGTGCTGGGAGGGGCCCCAATGCAGTACACACTCAACAAAGGCAGTTGTTTTTCTTACTTTCACTCGCATCGGCCTGTTTATTCTCTAACCTGATTTTGTAGTGAGGACACGTGGTCATGTGATTGTGGGCACGTCAGGTGGTTTACGGACACTTTCTTAGGTGAGCTTGGCGATTTCTGATGGTGGAGGCTAGAGGAGAGTTGATGGAAGCAAGGTTGCCTGACAGGAGTCTCCATCTGGGCCGGTTCAGAGCTCGAATCTCCTTGTCGTGGGCTTTGTCATTGGGGTAACTGTTGGAAATCAAGATTATCCCTAAAAATAAAGCTTTTAGACACTTGGGAGAATGTGAGTGTGAATGGGTAGGTTGAAAGGCAACATCTAAACATCAATTCTCTGTTAGGTTGGTGGGATTATGGGTTTTTCTTTCTTCAGAAATCTATTAACCATCAAGCCTAACAACAAGAAGCTAAACCCAAAGCTTTTAAGTTAAAGTTACTGGATTTGTATTTACGGGCAAGAGGAAACCCAGGTGGCACACTGCCTGCCTTTATATAGCACATGAGGTAGACGATGGTGGAAGTGATATCTTCACATCACATGAGAGACAGTGGCTGATGTTTGCCAATGTGGAGAACAGGTCTCTGAGGATAGAAGAGCCCACAGAAATGGTTCCCCCGCCAAGCGCCCTTCTGTCCAGCAGGGCCTGGTCTGTGGGAGCCTGTGGTCCATGTGAGCCCTGGATGAAAGTAGCAAATGCAGGTGCAGCTCATCCTGCTCTTAGCAGATGAGATTTACTCATCAAAGGCCACTGCTCGAAGCCCAGGGACGTGGCACTCAGAGGCCTTCTTTGTTAGCACGGGCCTGTGTGAGCAGGAGCGACCTGGCAGTATGCAAACAGGGTGTCCTGGTGCCAGGGAGTGGGGCCTGGAGGTCACACGGTGTGAGACATGCAGACCTGGCCCTTCACACCTGCGGACAGAAGGAGCTTGCCAGGACAGAGCATCAGGACATGGGGCTCCTGCCTGCACTGTGTGGCCGTCACCAGCCTCCTTTTTTGGGGTGGTGTTTTCACTATTAGATATTTGAACTACGTGTAGTATCATGCAGCTTAAAAACACAAATATTATTTGGTGGAGGTTAAGTATTTCATTTAATATCTTCAGTTGAGTTAATCTTCAGTTTATTAGGAAACCTTTCCAAGTTCTTCCAGGTAACTTGTTTCTGTGGAATCATGATTTTCTGTGTATAACCTTTTTTTTTAAATACATTTTTATTGATTTTAGAGAGAGAGGAAGAGAGATTGGGATAGAAACATCAATAAGAGAGAAACATCAACATCGATGGGCTGCCTCCTGCACGCCCCCTACTGGGGATCGAGCCCACAACCTAGGCATGTGCCCTGACTGGGAATCGAGCCGGTGACTTCCTGGTGCACAGGATGAAGCTCAACTACTGAGCCGCACCGGCTGGACTTAAAGCAGTTGTTAAAAAACTGTTTGTACGTCTGCTATATTGGTTTAAAGGAGCGGCGTCAAAGACCAGTCAGTCATGTGTTGGTCTCCGTAAGGCACCTTCTGTAGATGAGGAGAGTGCCTGCCGACCCAGCAGCTGTGAGCCTGGTGGCTCTTCTCTCTGAGTGTGGGAGCGGAGATGAGGAGTGGGGGTGTGTTTAAGGGTCCCGGGAGCGAGCTGCTCCTTGCTCTCGCAGCACTTGTCCCTGTCACTTAGCTCCTGTCACCTTCCGCCTCTCATGGACTATTAGAGCTGGCCTGTCAGGCCACTCTGTGGTGAGCTCCTCACGGGTTGTGGCTGTGCCCCTTATCCTCATGGCAGTGACGGGCGACTGGCACACTCCACTCTCAGGAGATGCTGGCAGAGCTAAGACCAGTAGCCATCAGTCCCAGCCCATGTCCCTTTAGTGATTATTGACATCTCTGGTTCTCTAGCTGACTTGGGTGAGATGGCCGGTCACCTCACTGCCAGGAGCTGGTTGTGGGTGTGGACCCTTGAGCCCTTGCTGAGGACTGGTGTTGAGCATAGGTATGAGGTCCAGGTGCCCTTCACGCTGAGTTCTTCCCAGGGGCTGTGCTCTTTACGTTCCAGTTTGTGATGGGGAAGGAGAAGCACAGCTCCCTGGTGGGTGTGATAACACTGGTCTTTGTCACCTCTGGCTGCCAGGACAGAACACCAGACTACAACAGATGTGTTTCTTGCAGCCTGGATGCTCCAGTGGGCATGGTACCTCGTTAGGGCACACGGCTTGGTCCATGGATGGGGTTTTCTCACTGTGTCCACACATAGTGGGAGGGGCGAAGGAGCTCCTGGGGGCACCCTTTTTAAGGAACCAAAGGCGGAGGCCCTGCCCAGGGTTGGAAGCAGCAGGTAGCTGCAGTCCCAGACNTAAGGAACCAAAGGCGGAGGCCCTGCCCAGGGTTGGAAGCAGCAGGTAGCTGCAGTCCCTGCTGCTCTCGTCTCGCTGGCTTGCTGTGTCGCAGGCTGCTTTGCTCACCTTACTGCGTTAGGAGAAATGCACTGTCAGAAATTTCATAAAGGATTGAGTCATACTTGGTTAAAAAAAGAAAACTGAAAGACATTTCTAAGGAATAGAAAGGCAGGGCAGGGGAGATGAAAAGTAATTCTGTCTGGATTACACCTGATACAACAGAGGCAGGAAGCTCTGTAAGTCAGAGGGGACTTGAAGTCAGCTACCGAGATACAGGGAACACTGGGCTTGGCAGGGCGTGGGGGTAATCGCCTTCGTCCTGAGTTTGTTGGGAGGAGTGGAATGTTGCCAGTGAGACTTTGGCTTCGGTTTTCAGCCAACTCCTGTGATATTAATATC